CGCAAAACACACGGCTATCAGAGCAATCGCAAACAATGAAAACCAAACTCATGTTCGAACAACAGTCCCCGCTGTTGAGTTCCACTGCGATCTTGCGGGATATGGACCGTTGACAACTCGAGTACGTTGTTTAAATCGGCGAATTTTCCTCAAAGGGGCCGTCCATAAATGACGTCACGCGATTTTGGACGATTTTTGACCCCCCCCCGTCGTCACACGGCGTCACAAAAAGTCAGACCCCCCCCCCCAAAAAAAAACACGCTTCAAATCGCGTTAAACTATTGTCATTGTAGTGCGTATTTACTGTGGCGCTGCACTCTGATGTTGTAGGAGAAAACATTTATTAAAAAGTCTATTTAATTAAGTAGAACGTGTTGTCTATATTTATTTAAGGTTGCGCATTTTGATGTGACGTCACATTTCTAACTCGTCACACATCGTCACAAATCGTCACAAATGTCTGACCCCCACCTCCCCCCCCCAGGTGCGTGACGTCATTTATGGCCGGCCCCAAAGTGACCATTCCACAAAGTCAGAATCAGACATGTTTATTTATAGCGGAGGAATTCGATGAGCTATACAGCTCGTATAGCTCATCGGGACATCTTATCGCTCGATGACCCAAGCTGCTTCAAACATTGCCCACCAGGTCCTGGGCCAATCCGGCAAAAATCTCTCCAAAGGCTGGAACCAGTCTGGCTGTCAGTACCACGGAGCGTGACAAAAAAAGCGTACCTCTGCGCTTGATTTCAGTGTTAAATATTACATACCGTACATTATACACTACATACAAACAACATGAAAAAATACTGCGCGTAGATACATCAACCCATGATGCAGTCTTGCTGATTGGAGTGGTTAATTACGGCACGGTAAATACAGTAGGATATTTATTTTTTTGTCTATTTGCACGCTTATGTGCCAATAACACATTTAAAACAACAACAACAATAACTTAACAACGCCTGAAAACATAACGTTACTCAAGAACGTGCAAAAATAAGCTATTTTAAATCATGATGGGGAGTGATTATCCTGCGTTTTTTTTAAATCCAAGCGCCCCTTTCCCCCGCCCCCCCCCCCCCGATTCCGCCGGATAATCGATGATCTACAGCAGTGGTTCTTAAACCGATACTTACAAAAGAGTGTTTGCTGAGACAAAGTTGGTACTGACGTGTCCGCGCTTAATTTGTGTTTTCGATTATTTACCTTCTAATTAAAAAAACCTTGCTGTGTCTTGCTACCCCCACACCCCCCAGAAAGGGCATCTCTATGCTACCCCCTCACCCCCCAGAAAGGGCATCTCTAGCACCCCAGGTGAACAAAAACCCCTCCTCGACTGTAACAATATAAGAGCGCCCCCCATCGTGGTCATTCTTCTCATTGCACACGAGACGCAAGCCCTTGAGTGTACAGAGAGGAGTTCCATCCCAGACACAGGACAAACTCAGTCCGTGTCTGCCTGCCTTGTGAAACGCTGCACTTGGATCGCCCGACCGTGGAAATAAACTATAAAGTGTTTCAACTATATATTTTTTATTTTACCAGCTAAGGCACACCGAGCTATATAGTCATATTTTTCAGAAGCGACCTTTGATCACAAACGAGAGCTCAACGATGTGGCTTATCATGTGGACATCTATAGCAGCCAAATGCTCTTAAACGCGTGATGTTGATTCTAAATGTTGAGGGAAAACCCGGAGGGCCCAGAGAAAAATTTCACGCCACCTCCTGCATACCAGGCGAGGTAGTGAACATCTCGCCACCGCGGCGCCCTAAATAACCTCCCCGCCGACCAGATTCACCCGACACTGTTCACTGCTGCAGAGGTGTCCACTCCTGTGCAGCTGCAACGGGAACGTTAAAGACCCTGGCACAGCGGCATCGCCAAAACCGGGGTGTGGGATCCAAACCCTCCAGGTGCAGGGTCCCTGGCTCCAGGTGCAGGGTCCAGGTCCAGGTGCAGGGTCCCTGGCTCCAGGTGCAGGGTCCCTGGCTCCAGGTGCAGGGTCCCTGGCTCCATGTGCAGGGGTCCCTGGCTCCAGGTGCAGGGTCCCTGGCTCCATGTGCAGGGGTCCCTGGCTCCAGGTGCAGGGTCCCTGGCTCCAGGTGCAGGGTCCCTGGCTCCAGGTGCAGGGTCCCTGGCTCCAGGTGCAGGGTCCCTGGCTCCAGGTGCAGGGTCCCTGGCTCCAGGTGAAGGGTCCCTGGCTCCAGGTGCAGGGTCCCTGGCCACAGGTGCAGGGTCCCTGGCTCCAGGTGCAGGGTCCCTGGCTCCAGGTGCAGGGTCCCTGGCTCCAGGTGCAGGGTCCCTGGCTCCAGGTGCAGGGTCCCTGGCTCCAGGTGCAGGGGTCCAGGTCCAGGTGCAGGGTCCCTGGCTCCAGGTGCAGGGGTCCAGGTCCAGGTGCAGGGTCCCTGACTCCAGGTGCAGGGTCCCGTGGCGACACCCACCTGCGTTGAGCCCCTTCACGTGGGCAGTTTGTATGGGTGCTGTAGCCATATGGTGTAATAGTAGGAATGTGTATGTATGGTGGAGTAGGGATGAGCAAAATATAAAATAATTGGTGACATCGATGTTTTGGTTCCGCTACGTGGATGTTTTTGATTTAGATGTTGATTCCTCCAATGACACTGGAGCATTCATTTGATGCCCTCGGCGTTTTGTTTTTCACTCCAATGAAGGCCGAAATAGACACAAACATCCCGCTGCTCATCGGCCACCTTCCACTTTAAGCGCTGCCCCTAAATTTCGATTTAAATTTCGATCTAAAGCTTTCGTGACTGCAGGGATTCATATTCTTGGTTCTTTCAGTAAAGTCACGTAGAAAGGAAAAAATGAAATCATAAAAAATAAAACATAATATAACAACATTCTCACGACGTTTCGGCCACAACGCAAGCAGCCGTCCTCAGGCGAAGAAACATAGCTGTCGGAAAGACAGCGTCGTTGACAGGGGAACGGCACACCCTCCACCGTAGAGAAATTTAAAGTGAATGTCTTGGGCCAGTGGTTCTTTACCTGGGGGTGCATGCACTCCAGATTTTTTTTACTGGTAGGAAACGTAGTGGACTGGAAGCCCAACCGGGATTAATTCACAGGAGGCAGGGGATTAATTGTGTATGTCTGTGGATGTCTGTCCACGTGTATCCGGACACCCGGATATATAACAAATGCGCTCCTAGTGGGCATTACTGGTAGTAAACGTAGTGGACTGGAAGCCCAACCGGGATTAATTCACAGGAGGCAGGGGATTAATTGTGTATGTCTGTGGATGTCTGTCCACGTGGGAGGGGTGGGGCTGGGTGGAGAGGGGAGGATAGGGAGGGGCTGGGTGGGGAGGGGAGGGTGGGGAGGGGCTGGGTGGGGATGGTGGGGCTGGGTGCGGCTGGTCACCCCGTGGTGCCCTTATATGGATTGGAAGCCCAACCGGGATTAATTCACAGGAGGCAGGGGATTAATTGTGTATGTCTGTGGATGTCTGTCCACGTGGGAGGGGTGGGGCTAGGTGGAGAGGGGAGGGTAGGGAGGGGCTGGGTGGGGAGGAGCCGGGTGGGGTGGGGCTGGGTGGGGAGGGGCTGGTCACCCCGTGGTGCCCTTAAAAAACTCAACGTTTCACCTACTCACGCCGGCTTGAATACACCACGCCGCCGTTGACCCTGGCCATTGACCGAGCAACCCAACGTTCCTACCAGCTCCCTCCGCAGGAATGTGTTGAAGGTAAATAATTGAAAACACAAATTCAGCACGGGCACCTAAGTACAACTACTTTGTTTCACCAAACCCCATGTATTCATTTAAATAAAAAAAATGTACCATTGAGAACCAATTTTGCAGTAAAGGTGCACAACTACTGACACAGACTGCAGACGCTGGTTTGTTGTTGGTTGAGTGTCGACCCTGCAAATGACGGTTCTTGCACCCTTGCATATTTTTCGTAGTAAAATGTATCACATTTTTTTCAAACATGTTTTGGAAAGTAGTGTAAAGATTGCGGTCGAGCGTTTAACCTTCTCTACACACGCAGCCCCTCGAGTCGTGCGTCTCTCTCACTTATCGACCCTGGGATGTAAAGTTTGCGTTGAGTGTTGACCCCCGAAATAGAAACAGCCTCGTGCCTTTACATTCCGCCTGTAAACAGTTCACTTGTAAAATTAATATACTTGAAAACGTGTTTTACTGGTAGGAAACGTAGTGGACTGGAAGCCCAACCGCGATTAATTGTGTATGTCTGTGGATGTCTGTCCACGTGGGAGGGGTGGGGCTGGGTGGAGAGGGGAGGGTAGTGAGGGGCTGGGTGGGGAGGGGCTGGGTGGGGCTGGGTGGGGGGTGGGACTGGGTGGGGAGGGGCTGGTTACCCCGTGGTGCCCTTATATGGACTGGAAGCCCAACCGGGCTTCGAGACATCGATGTTTTTCGTGAAATGCCCCTTTCCTCGTGTACATACAAAGATCCCCCGTAAAGGCTGTTCAGGCTGTTGGAGCAAGTGCTGTTTGTGAACGACCTTTGAAGGCCGCCAAAGGTCGCACGAGCCGGGTGCTCTGGCCAGCACCACGCCCATCGGTCCTCATCTCCTCTCCCATTGCAGATGGTTACACACCGCAACCAGGGACCAATGTTACGGCTAAGTCGACCTCGTAGGAAGACAGGGAACGATATTCCTGGTTCTTTCGGTAAAGTCACGTAGAAGGGGAATCATAAAATAATACAAATTAAACAATAAAATTATCACGACGTTTCGATTGCAACACAAGCAATCATCATCAGGTGTGAAAACCGAAACGTCGTGAGAATTTTATTGTTTTATTTGTATTATTTTATTATTTCCCTTCTACGTGACTTTACCGAAAGAACCAAGAATATCAATCCCTGCAGTCACGAAAGCTTTACATCGAAATTTAGAGGGAACGGTGTCAACGTCCAGAGCTGAGCAGCGCTGGGGTGAGCAAAAACAAAAAGAGGCGAAACTTCGCACGGTTAAATCAAGGACTCCACCAACGGACGGTTAAATATTATAGCGCGGTTGTTTTAGTCAAGACGTCGAGCATCACAACACGATACAAGGGAAACGACCCGGGGTCAAAACGTAGCAATAACCGGTGCCAACGTGAACGGCCATCGCAGCAAAGCGAGAGAGAGCGCTATTGAACAAGATCATCGGTCTTCACTTTTTTGTACATTTTCTTCAAATTTTTATTTTTTTTCGCCTTTTGCTATGTCCGAGAAAAGGAAATGTGATGCACATGCAGAGAAGTACTAAATCGTTTTAAAATGTGTTTGTTTTAACTTAAATGTTTGTAAAAGTTATGTTCAGTTACAATGTTTGTTAAGGTTATTTTCAGTTATTTTCGTGCTCAATTTTGGTATTTTTATGGTACTGTAATGGGTTTCCAGGAACGGAACCCCAATATATAACATTGTGCCCTATGAGAAACGAGGCTTCGACTTACAATGGCTTCGACTTACGACCGTCGTCCAGGAACCAATTAGCTTGTGGGTGCGTGCGTGGGTCGCCTGTAAAGGGCTTTAGCGCGAGGAGTGTGGGTAGTTTTATGGTTTAGGATTAATTCAATGGTTTGGTTGGGGTTGGGTTGAACATGGGTTAGAGGTTTTCTTGAAGTGTATCTTATTCAACCGGACAAGGTCTCATTTTCAAGCGTGGCATGAGGTCAGAAAAATGACAAAATAACAAAACAAAAACAGCACAGAAATGCAGCCAATAGGTTACTGTGAAAGTATGGGCTGTGGGTTATGGTTAGTGTGAAGATTTTGCAAAGGGGTTTGGGCTGATTTGAAGCTCGTGTTATGTTTGGGGTAAGGTTTTTGGGTTAACGTTAATAGGTTGGTGTCTGGGTTATTGTTTATAAGGTTTTGGGGATATGTTAAGGGTTCGGTTTTAGGTTTAGAGTGATGCCTGAACATTTTATTTCGGGGCAGAATGTAAGTTGCGGGCTCGGTTTAGGGATAGTAGTGGTGGCTATGCACGTGGCCTGTAATCCAGCACTGTGGAGGCAACGGGGGTTGGTGTATCACACAAACGACAATGTTGCGTTGAGGTGCAAGACCCCAGCAAAATGCAGTACAGCAAGATGTCGACTGATATCATCCATCCCTTCTTGATGAGATAGAGGGATAGTATTGCCTCCTGTATGTGTGGGTTTTCTCTGGGTGCTCCGGTTTCCTCTCACACATGGAGTATAAACACTCACCCATTGGCTGAAAACATTTTAATATATAGAGAACTGCAGAGCAATTGTTGGCACCGGCTCACCACCCTGGCAGCCTTCCAGCATGGTCTGTGGTTCCTCAGTGACTGCGAGATACAATTTGCATGAACGATGCTATTAAGTTAATGAGATTTTTTGTTAGGTTTGGGGTTAGGTTTACCGTTACGGCTATGGTTAACACTATCACTTGTCAGGAATGGCTGTAGGGGAAATTGCTAGTGCCAGGGTTACTGCTAGGGCAAATGTAAGCGCTAGGTGTCAGGGTTTTCTCAGGGCTAGATATAGTGTTATCACTTGAGTCAAGGTTGTCGCTAGCATCAAGGCTATCGGTAGTGCCAGGGCTAGTTTCAAAGTTCCTGCTTGTGTTAGGGTTCTATCGCTATTTTCAGGGTTAGGTCAAGACCATCAGCAGCCTCATGGCAGTCATCACTTCCCCACGCGCCTCTCCCCCGCTCCCCCATCACCGCTCGTGTCCAATCTCTCTCCCCCCTTCGTCTTCAGGTACGACGGCGCCGGCGATCGCCCCGTGGCTCCACGCTCCTCCATTCCCTCCTCCTCCTCCACCGTCGTTCCTTCCACAACCTCCTCCTCCGCCATCATCGCCGCCGCCGCCGCCGCCACGCCGTTCCGCGGCCCGTTTTCCTCCGGCCCATGGCACTGGCGCGTCGGCACCCACCGCGCCGACACCTTGGCCAGCCCCAGGTGCTCGTGCAGGATGGTGAGCACGCTGCCGTGCGAGATGCCCACCTCCCTTTCCATGTCGGACACCTTGACGCGCCCGTCCCGCGCCACCATGGCCTTGACGCGCGCGATGGTGCCCGCGTTCACCGCCTCCGAGGGCCGCCCCGAGCGCCGGCCGTCCCGGATCGACTCTCGCCCGCGCCGGAACTCGCCGAACCAGCGCGCCACCGTCGGGTAGCTGGGCGCCCCGGCACCGTACACGGCCAGCATGCGCTCGTGAATCTGCTTGGCATTGTTCCCCTCCTTGGAGAGGAACTTGATGACGATTCGCTGCTCGATCTTCTCCACGTTCGCCGTGCGCGGTGGGCGCAGGAGCGACGACATCGTGGCGCTGGTGGCGACGACCGGTGTGTGTGTGTGTGTGTACCCTTCAGGTGTGTGTGTGTGTGTGTGCCCTACTGGTCTATCTGTGTGTCTACAGCGAGGGGAATGTTGATAACGATTGGTAGCCGCATTTGTCCACACCTCTAGTCGACAACGCTAAATGAAGGATCCTTGCTTCTTTGTCGTCACGCGTGTGTTCTGTAAACGTCAAGACTCCCTTAACACTCTCGTTAACGGTAATAACAGGAAAAGTTCAGCTTCTAAATTCAGCTAACCTGTTAGGTGCATGAGTAATGATCACTATAGAGACAACTGCCATCAGGGGGACCGCGAGGCTACAAGAAAACTTGGCTCCGAGACGTTTCGTACGTATTGGGTGCAATATGCATCGGTTCTCCTGCGTGCAACTGCGGCTACGAGCCTGCAACGTCACACTGGCCCCACAAATATGCACGTGAAGGTGGTGGGTGAATACGTGGGCGTATCTGCAATTCGCATAGGAGGCTTTTGCGAGCAATATCATCCACAATAGAGGAGTTTTTTGTGGGTTAGATCGCGTAAAAATATAAATGTGTTTTCGTGAAACCCGCCACCACCCGACACAGCCAATTAGTAAGGTGTGTCACGTAAACAAAGCATGCCAATTGGTGACTAGATCAGCACACCGATGTGTTGCGGAGTGAACTCACATTTACAATTTCGAGTACGACGTTTCGCCAGCAATTCAAACCCAGAGTCATCAGGCGACAGCCCAGATTTTGTGGAGAACTCCTCCTGTTCCGTTTGTAAATATCAATTACAACTGAATCTTCTCACCGTTACTCTATACAGAGGGCCATGTGCACGGAGACGGGGCGCAGGGTGTTGTCTGTTGTTCAATAGTTTCGCTGCAACTCGCTCGCCTCGGGGTAAGCTGAAGGGCCTGTTGGGTGCAAGCTGCAGAAGGGTGGGTGGATGGACGACGCCAAGCGGAGTCAGTCAAGCCCACTGTTGGGGAAAAAGAAGCCGAAGTCAGCGAAGGGCTCGGTGCCTTTGGACGAGTTTCTGCGAGGGTTACACGCTGGCGGACACGACGCTGGCGCGGAGGTCGCCAGGCTGTGGCGATGGAATTCGCGAGGCCGGCGGACGTAAGAAGACCTTCACGCGTACAGAGACAAAGATCCCACCGTATAGCCTTAACAGACTGTTGGGGCAGGTGCTGTTAAGCACCTATCAAGGGTCGGTACTGTAGCACACGAGGGGGGGGGGGGGGTGTGCCAGCAACCACGCCCGGCCGCCTTTGTCTCCCCCAGTGGCGATGTTTTTTACGCACCGCGGCGCGCTAACCGAGGCACGCACAACCACAGAGACCCCCGAGTTTGGAGGCGAGAAGCGCTGCGAGCTCAGCTTGCCTCCCGAAGCCCGCGAGTGGGTGGCGCGGGGGCCGATTCTACCGCTGCACGTTTTGTGCCACCGTACAGCACCGAATGATTATCCATCGAACAGGGTTTTTTTGTTGTTGTTGTTGTCGGGGTCAGATCGGGTAGATAATATAAATGTGTGCCGTTAAACCTGCCACCCACCACCCGACACAGCCAATTCGTCAGGGGCTTGTCACGTAACCATAACGTGTCAATTCGTTACAAGAACAAGCACCGCCGGTGTGTTGGAGAGCGAAAGCCACAACAAACATTTACGACACATTTATATATTTACAGTACGCGATCTAACCGACATTAACCCCCCCCCCCCTCTGCCTTGTGGATATCGGTCGCGAAAGCCGACTGTTGTGTTTACGCGTCAGATTTATTGTCTATTCGGCGTAGGGAGGAATCCGGAGCACACCGAGGAAGCCCCCCCCCCCCACCACCACCACCGCGCGTGTGTGTGTGAGAGGGCGCAACGCTCGATCCCGTTCAAGTGCAAACAGATGGCGATCAGTTTAACACGTCGGCTTTCGCGACCAAATGTCACCCACAAGAGGCTTTTTGCGTTAGTTCGCGTGTCGTTAAAAACCTGTCCTTAGTAAGGGTCGTCACGTAAACAGAACGTGGCCAATCCGTCACTAGTACAGCACTAGTGTCTAGTGTATAGTAGTGTAGTGTCTAGTGTAGTGTATAGTAGTGTAGTGTCTAGTGTAGTGTATAGTGTAGTGTATAGTGTAGTGTATAGTGTAGTGTGTAGTGTATAGTGTATAGTGTAGTGTATAGTGTAGTGTGTAGTGTATAGTGTAGTGTATAGTGTAGTGTATAGTGTAGTGTATAGTGTAGTGTATAGTGTAGTGTGTAGTGTATAGTGTAGTGTATAGTGTAGTGTATAGTGTAGTGTGTAGTGTATAGTGTATAGTATAGTGTGTAGTGTATAGTGTAGTGTATAGTGTAGTGTATAGTGTAGTGTATAGTGTAGTGTGTAGTGTATAGTGTAGTGTATAGTGTAGTGTGTAGTGTAGTGTGTAGTGTAGTGTATAATGTAGTATATAGTGTAGTGTGTAGTGTATAGTGTAGTGTGTAGTGTATAGTGTAGTGTATAGTGTAGTGTGTAGTGTAGTGTGTAGTGTAGTGTGTAGTGTATAGTGTAGTGTGTAGTGTATAGTGTATAGTGTAGTGTGTAGTGTATAGTGTATAGTGTAGTGTATAGTGTAGTGTATAGTGTAGTGTATAGTGTAGTGTATAGTAGTGTATAGTGTCTAGTGTGTAGTGTATAGTGTAGTGTATAGTAGTGTATAGTGTAGTGTATAGTGTAGTGTATAGTGTAGTATAGTGTAGTGTATAGTGTAGTGTCTAGTGTATAGTAGTGTAGTGTATAGTGTAGTGTATAGTGTAGTGTATAGTGTAGTGTAGTGTATAGTGTAGTGTAGTGTGTAGTGTATAGTGTAGTGTATAGTGTAGTGTATAGTGTAGTGTGTAGTGTGTAGTGTAGTGTGTAGTGTAGTGTAGTGTATAGTGTAGTGTATAGTGTAGTGTATAGTGTAGTGTATAGTGTATAGTGTAGTGTATAGTGTAGTGTATAGTGTAGTGTATAGTGTAGTGTATAGTGTAGTGTATAGTGTAGTGTATAGTGTAGTGTGTAGTGTAGTGTATAGTGTAGTGTATAGTGTAGTGTATAGAGTAGTGTAGTGTATAGTGTAGTGTATAGTGTAGTGTGTAGTGTATAGTGTAGTGTATAGTGTAGTGTGTAGTGTATAGTGTAGTGTATAGTGTAGTGTATAGTGTAGTGTATAGTGTAGTGTATAGTGTAGTGTGTAGTGTATAGTGTAGTGTATAGTGTAGTGTATAGTGTAGTGTATAGTGCAGTGTATAGTGTAGTATACTAGTACAGCACCACCGGTGTGTTGGGAAAGCCAAGCCACAACATTTACATTCCGAGCACGACGTTTCGCCACGAATTACAACCAGCTTCATCAGATGGAGATCAGCCCACGTTGCTGCTGCTGCTGCTCCTTGCCTTCTCCCTGCTAGCCAGGGAAATTGCTTCCTCCACGACAACCCCAACACGCGGTGGGAGACGCGCCACGTCTTTGCGTGACCCACCAACCCTCATTGCCACGTGTTTGGGGCTACCGCAATGCACCGCAAACAGACTTCAAGCCGCGCTGTATATCGCATTATGCGTCGTAACGTGTGTGTTACGCGTTGTTACTATATACTGTATTTACACACACACACACACGCGTGTGGTATTGTTGTGCTACGTGAATTATAATGAATGAGAATTGTCAATCACGAGTAAGGCCTCCCCCTAATCTATCCGAGCCGTCACCGCCGCCACCCACCCACCCGCCCAGAATTATTTTCGTCCAGAATTATTTCCGCTACGACCGACGCCCAATAAAAGGCTCACGGGACGAGGGTGAGACATCGTGAAGTTTAAAAAAAATAATAATGTAAAAGATCGTGACCGAAGACGGCAGGAATCGAACCAACCTGGGGAGGGAGGATGGGGTGGGGAGGGGGTGCCGCTTCACGACACCGCCGATCGGCTTCACGACACCTCGCGCGACCGTACGGGGCGATCATTTACGTGCAGGCTGCCGAGTCGGATTATAAGACGCACCTCGCCCGGCAACCCCCCTCCCCCACCCCACTTGTACCCCCCTCCCCCACCCCACTTGTACCCCCCTCCCCCACCCCACTTGTCAATGAAGTTAGAGGAAGGCGAGCGAAACTCTCACACACAAAGCCGGAAAATAAGACGCACCCCCCCTCCCCCAAACACCTGTGCCTGGCCTTCACACACAAAGCCGGAAAATAAGACGCACCAACCCCCCCCCCTCCTCCCAAAGTGCCTGGCCTTCACACACAAAGCCGGAAAATAAGACGCACCCCCCCTCCTCCCCCAAACACCTGTGCCTGGCCTTCACACACAAAGCCGGAAAATAAGACGCACCAACCCCCCCCCCCCTCCTCCCCAAACACCTGTGCCTGGCCTTCAGCCACAAAGCCGGAAAATAAGACGCACCCCCCCTCTCCTCCCCAAACACTTGTGCCTGGCCTTCACACACAAAGCCGGAAAATAAGACGCACCAACCCCCCCCCCCTCCTCCCCCAAACACCTGTGCCTGGCCAACACCCACAAAGCCGGAAAATAAGACGCACCAACCCCCATCTCCTCCCCAAACACCTGTGCCTGGCCTTCATAAAGTTATAGGGGGCCATCTATTTAGTGGGTACGCAAAAATCTGTCACAACTTGACCCCTGCCCCCCTCCCTGTACGCACGCGAACTTTTTACACCCCCCCCCCCAATCCTATAGAACGGCCGATATTTAATCCACGCAGAAACGATCAAGGATTAATAATATTAACGTGTTTTTAGCAAACAGATAGTCCACCGCCGGACTATCTAACTCCTTTGAAGGCCAATGTAGACAAATTATTATTCACACCTCCTCCCCCCTCCCCCCCCCCCCCGTTCCCTATGTGTACGCACATTGTCAGTAGACCCCCCCCCCCCCATACGCCGGTGAACGCATTTGGGGTTAACCCCAAATTTGGGTTAACCCGAAATGCGTTCACATTTGGGTTAATTAGCAATTTGGCGTCAGAAGCGGCACGAACCCCCAGCGCGTTACCCCACGCATCATACAATCACTGCGTCTTAGAATCAGTGCGTCTTAGAATCCGTACGTCTTACAATCCGGAGCATTCGGTACTAGGTGTCCCGGAACTGGCGATGGCTGTTGGCGCGACACGTGGTACACGTGGCCGCGACACGTGGTCACACTTTAAACGAGTCGTGTAGAATAGTTTAGTGAATCGTGAAATCAACTTGTTTGTTGTTTATATTCTCGGCGTCGCTGATTATTACTTAACTACCACTAGGATTTTTGTTGTTGCAATACAGGAGACCCCCCCCCCCGCCCCCACCTCTTTAACGACGGTGATTGGTTCCACGATTCCGTTCGTTTAAGCTATTTGATCGTTAAGCGAGAATAGGAACAGCGCACGTTAAAGGCTTAATTCGTTCCGATGGCGTCTAAAGTTTAGACCACTTTTTTACCCCCCAAAAAACGCGCTCTATAATATTTGAGCAATGCATATTAATGCGTAAAGATACTATCAACATTATAAACACATACTATTTATAGAAACATGGTTAATCAATGCATTCATAAAAAAATACTGGACCGGCAACAGCCCGTCGTTAACAGGCGAATGGTCGGTAAGCGAACACACTGGCCTCTATGGAGGTACTACACTACTATACACTACACTATACACTACACACTGGGCTCTATGGAGGTACTACACTACTATACACTACACTACTATACACTACACTATACACACTACACTACTATACACTACACTACTATACACTACCCTACTGTACACTACACTATACACTACACTACTATACATTACACTATACACTACACTATTATACACTACAATACACTATACACTACTATACACTGGGCTTCTACTCTACACTACTATACACTACACTTTAGACTACACACTGGGCTCTATGGAGGCCTGTTAAAACAGGGGTGGTCATTAAGAAGGGTTCTATGCTACACTATACACTACACTATACACTACCGTTATACTGGAAGGAACCTCCTGGTTACACCAGCCCACAGGGGATTATTGTGTCCATCCGTCCGTCGTGCATCCAAAAATGGGACGGGGTGGGGAGGGGAGGGTGGGGAGGGGGCTGTGTGGGGAGGGTGGGGAGGGGCTGGGTGGGGGGTGGGAGGGGTGGGGCTGGGTGGGGAGGGGCTGGTCACCCCGTGGTGCCCTTATAAACTCAACGTTTAACCTACTCACGCCGGCTTGTGCCCGCCCTCACAGTCGGGCACATTTGCGGAATACACCACGTGGTGCCGCCGTTGACCCTGGCCATTGACCGAGCAACCCAACGTTCCTACCAGCTCCCTCCGCAGGAATGTGTTTATCACGTGCAAGACTTCTTCAAGAGGGTCCTGACAAGTTTTTTTTCTGTAGCCAGGGGGCGATGTCGCTGCTTGCTGTGCCTGCGTGTGTGGGGAGCGGTGGTGCAACGGTTAGCGCGCCGCGCTACGAAGCTGGTAATCAGAGTTCGATTCCCGCTCAAGGCCAACACAAGTGTTGATTATCTGAACCGGTCCTGGGCCTTCCCTAGGTCGACTCAGCCACAAATGAGTACATGGTGCGGTGTGTAAACATCGCCACTATGGGAGGCAAAGGCGGCCCCCGGGCGTGGTGTTGGACACCCACCCCCTCGTGTGCCCGTTCCGGCCTTCATAGGTGGTGCTACTGGCTAACAGCACTTGCCCCAACAGTCTGCTAAGGCTATACGGGTGGAATTATTGTTGTCTTCGTCTTTTGTATAAATCCCAAAACGAGTTCATTTGCAGGTCATTTTTCAAGCATTGGGGTGTTTTGGCCGACACCAGGCAAATTGTGAGCCTTACAATTTATTTTTATAGCTACAGGAGGAAAGCTGAGAAACCCATAGGAAACCCACGCAGAACATACAAACTCCACGCAGAAAGGCGGCCCGAGACGGGGAATATAACTCAGGGGCTCTTCTTCTTGCGAGGCACGAGTGGTTTACCACTGATCCCACCATTGTCGTTCTACGTTCACTATTGAAAAACATCACCACATGACCATGTGATAGGGGTGGTGGCAATGCTTGCTGTTCACCGGATGTGGAAGGGTGAAGATTGTATTTGTTTATCTTTTAAAAGAAACGTAGAGGAAGTGACAACAACAACACAACGAGCGGGAGACATCCACCGAGATGCACGCCTGGAATGGACACCGAGAGACAGGAAGAGAAGCCCGCGGGTCAGACAGCACGTGGGTCAGACAGCACGTGGGTCAGACAGCACGCGGGTCAGAGCACGTGGGTCAGACAGCACGTGGGTCAGAGCACGTGGGTCAGACAGCACGTGGGTCAGAGCACGTGGGTCAGACAGCACGTGGGTCAGACAGCACGTGGGTCAGACAGCACGTGGGTCAGACAGCACACGGGTCAGACAGCACGTGGGTCAGACAGCACGCGGGTCAGACAGCACACGGGTCAGACAGCACGTGGGTCAGACAGCACACGGGTCAGACAGCACGTGGGTCAGACAGCACGCGGGTCAGACAGCACGTGGGTCAGACAGCACGTGGGTCAGACAGCACGTGGGTCAGACAGCACGTGGGTCAGACAGCACACGGGTCAGACAGCACGTGGGTCAGACAGCACGTGGGTCAGAGCACGTGGGTCAGACAGCACGCGGGTCAGACAGCACGTGGGTCAGAGCACGTGGGTCAGACAGCACGTGGGTCAGACAGCACGTGGGTCAGACAGCACGCGGGACAGACAGCAGGCGGGACAGACAGCACGTGGGTCAGACAGCACGCGGGACAGACAGCACGTGGGTCAGAGCACGTGGGTCAGAGCACGCGGGTCAGACAGCACGTGGGTCAGACAGCACGTGGGTCAGACAGCACGTGGGACAGACAGCACGTGGGTCAGACAGCACGCGGGTCAGACAGCACGTGGGACAGACAGCACGTGGGTCAGACAGCACGTGGGTCAGACAGCACGTGGGTCAGACAGCACGCGGGACAGACAGCACGTGGGTCAGAGCACGTGGGTCAGAGCACGCGGGTCAGACAGCACGTGGGTCAGACAGCACGTGGGTCAGACAGCACGTGGGACAGACAGCACGTGGGTCAGACAGCACGCGGGTCAGACAGCACGTGGGACAGACAGCACGTGGGTTAGACAGCACGTGGGTCAGACAGCACGTGGGTCAGACACCACGTGGGTCAGACAGCACGTGGGACAGACAGCACGTGGGTCAGACAGCACGCGGGTCAGACAGTACGCGGGTCAGACAGCACGCGGGACAGACAGCACGTGGGTCAGACAGCACGTGGGTCAGACAGCACGTGGGTCAGACAGCACGCGGGACAGACAGCACGTGGGTCAGACAGTACGCGGGTCAGACAGCACGCGGGACAGACAGCACGTGGGTCAGACAGCACGTGGGTCAGACAGCACGTGGGACAGACAGCAGGCGGGTCAGAGCACGTGGGTCAGACAGCACGCGGGTCAGACAGCAGGCGGGTTGGGCTCGGACAGGACGCGCGCCATGGCTGGAAGCGACGATGACCGGTGGTCAAGACTAACGATGGAGTAGCAGCCGAAGGATGGAAGGTGCCAGAGTGGGCGCTCGCCACGGAGATGCCACGATGAAATCAGCTCGCGTGCAGGTACGAGATGGACAATGGCCTTGCAGGATTGAGACACGATGGTTTTGGGGAGACCTTCATCCAGCAGTAGATTGATCATAGCTGTCTGATAAGAGGCAAATGGCTTGGCACCATAACAACCACCATCCAGGGAACGGAGGACAATGCTTGGATAGGACTTTTCTTGTTTTGTTTATCAACAAGCAGCATAGACACATCGTCGCCGGTCGGGATGACGGTCGGTGGGTTGAGACGATGGACGAGGCGGCAATCAAAGTTGAGAACACACCAGAGAGGACGTTCGCTCCGCGGAGAGATGGCAGCGATGAAACGAGCTCAGTGGAGGCCAAGGCTTGGATAGGACTTTTATTTACAAAGCAGCATGGAACAAAAATCGTGGCCAAGTTCTCTCCCTTCGAAAGCAGCCCTGGTCCTCCTCCTCCTCCATCGTCCCTCGATACTCAAAAAAACTTAACGAAAATTATGCAACACAGAGAAGAGCGACGCGAACGCCCCGCGGTGAAAACCACGCCGTGTCTCAAACCACGCCGTGTCTCAAACCACGCCGTGTCTCAAACCACGCCGTGTCTCAAACCACGCCGTGTCTCAAACCACGCCGTGTCTCAAGCCACGCCGTGTCTCAAACCACGCCGTGTCTCAAGCCACGCCGTGTCTCAAGCCACGCCGTGTCTCAAACCACGCCGTGTCTCAAGCCACGCCGTGTCTCAAACCACGCCGTGTCTCAAACCACGCCGTGTCTCAAACCACGCCGTGTCTCAAACCACGCCGTGTCTCAAGCCACGCCGTGTCTCAAACCACGCCGTGTCTCAAACCACGCCGTGTCTCAAGCCACGCCGTGTCTCAAGCCACGCCGTGTCTCAAGCCACGCCGTGTCTCAAGCCACGCCGTGTCTCAAACCACGCCGTGTCTCAAACCACGCCGTGTCTCAAACCACGCCGTGTCTCAAACCACGCCGTGTCTCAAACCACGCCGTGTCTCAAGCCACGCCGTGTCTCAAACCACGCCGTGTCTCAAGCCACGCCGTGTCTCAAACAACGCCGTGTCTCAAACCACGCCGTGTCTCAAACCACGCCGTGTCTCAAACCAGGTCGTGTCTCAAACCACGCCGTGTCTCAAACCACGGAGGACCACCCCGACCGCCCTCACCGCCCCCCCCATATTCAAATAAAATTAAAACACAAAACCAAACACGAACACTCCCCCACACCCCCCAAAAACTAAATACTCGAGCACAGTTAGTGCAAGGAATTGACGGCCAAGTGCAACTTAGAAACAATACAAATAATCAGTTTTTGTTTAAAGAGTACAACTGCAGTTTAACAAACAAAAAAACGAATTATCCAACAATACTGTAGGAACGTTTTTCATTCAATTCAGCCTTGTGAATATTTCGCCGACACAGTATTATGGTCCCGAAACATTCGTGCACTTTAAAGTAGGGTGCCCTCTCCTCAACCTCTTAACGTCGCTGACAGTTTATGTACGAAACGGGGCCATTGTGACAATTCGCTCAGGGTACTTGAGTTTTCTGTTCTACAGAAGGGCCACCAATGAACCTAACGAACAAGCGCACGTGTAACTGTACGTCCAACTCTCGATTATCCAAGAGGGTAAAAACGGTGAGAAGGGCTGACCCAGATGAAACAAACAAAAAAAAAACACAAGGAAAATGCAAAACATATACGCATTAATCTATCCATACGTTGCTAGCCGTGTTGAACGTAATGAGAGAGACGAAGCACACGTCACCTATTTTAATTGCTTCTTAAAGTAATCGGATCACTCGCCCGATGTGCTTGCAGTCGCACGGGCAATGACCAACCGGGCGAGTGAGGAGCGGCCAATGAACCCGGCCGTGAGCGTAGAAAGTGAGCGTGGGCACGGTAAATTCGCACCCACGGAATATCGATCGTCCACTGCGGTTGGACTGCGCGGGAGCTATTAAGGACCTAGAGATTAAAGAATCACCAGTTGTAACGTCTGTAATCAAAGCTTGCTTGAGATACTGCTCTTCAAAGACACGTCGAGCTAAGATCAACAGCAGGTGAAAGAAGTCGACACGTTTTATAAGGGAAAACAAAATCATTATCAGCATTGGCCAAAGAAGTCATGGAATGCCCCCGGTAATGAAAACTAAAAAAAACAAATAATTGCTACAACAATAAATCAAATCGCTGTGGCTAACTGCCATCAGGAGGCTCAATGGCTGTGTCAGCACACGGAGTCTGGCACTTCCGAGATTCTGGGTTCAAATCCAGGTGGAAGCCACCACTGATTAAACCGGGTACTCTAGCGAGTCCAGGGTCTCGGGCCCAATCGCTTAACATCTCGCATGAAAAACAAACGCCAACCGTAGAGATTGGTTTTACACTTAACTCAAATAAGCCTATGTTCTCGACACTCGTCAGAGGCACAATGCTGACACAAAAAAATCACCGTGCGGTGAAGAACGCACTGTCGAGCGGTTGGTATTGAACCAGACGTGCCCAGGAAGGAATTGGAAGTTGCCCTGCGACACTTATTCCAGGGTCTTTCCTCGGAGCATGCGGACGATGGATACGAGTCAACTCAACAACCAGCCGAAGTAATTTTGTTTTCCAATTGTCAGCAACATCCTGTCGCAACCAAATGTCATTGCCGTTGCACCGGTTTACTTTCACTTGCTGCGATAACGGTGGTTGTACTCTTGCGGCGAGCACGGCAAGGCCATGCTTCTACACATGTTGTGGAAAAAACTTTGTTCCGATCATCGCTCATTTGCGCACAAAAAAAACGATCAACATCGATGATGTCGTCGCGACGTCGAAGATGGCCTCGCGAATTCACTCATCGTTACCGCTCTTCCGTCAGTAACAATCGGTTTTAAACATATCGTCGGATGCTCCCTACAAGGCGCAGCGTGACGCTGGCTTTCATCTTCCTTTAACTGTCAGTGCTTTCGCTCCGAGTCCGCACGCCGACATCAACAACAACACATTTGGGGCGTGGGGGGGTCCAATCGTCAAAAAAAATAAAACAAATGAAATCCCCAAAGCCACTCGAGGCTCAAGAAAGCGAAACAATTTTTGTGATTTTGTCCCCCCCCCCCCCGCAAAACGTGGGCCGTTTATTTTCGCCGACAAAAGTGGCGCTGGAAATGTCCCCGTCTCCAGCCATCGTCTCTTACAGCACGCCGCCCCCGTGCCATCTTCCGATCTCAGGTTTCTTTAAAATTTTCATTTAATATATTTATCTACAGACGCTTTAGCTATAGTACATATACAGTGAATCTGCACTTGTTAGGTTGGCCCGGCAGGGTGTTTCGTGTGCGTGCTGGCATATGTGCATGTGTGCGTGTTACAATGAAACCACTTCCAACTTAACGATGCCACTTGCGTTTTTAGTTTATTCAGTGCAGCGCTGCACTGGTTTTCAAAAGTCAAGTTCACTTTTATTTTAAGCTACGGTGGCTTAAAGAATGTCATCTTTGGAGGACAGTTCATATATATATTTTTTTGTGCAATGGAAAATTTAAGAGAACTAATGAGCAACGTCATAATTTTACTTAACTGAGACATGTCAGTGTTGCTGCTACGACGCAATCATTAATTAATATATCATGGCAATTTACTAACCATATTTATAGTCTATGTAGTTTAACTGCAGTTTTTCCCATTCATTTGTAAGTTCAGCCAAGCACGTAACATTGTTGTAAATATCTATATCACCATCGCTTCTAATTCTGGCTTTCCGAAAGCCCCAGATGCGGTGGACACTGAGGGGGGTGGGGGGGACCTGGAGGAAACGTGGCGAAAAGGGATGAACATTAACCTCGGAAAAGGGCGCAGACTTTTGAATAGCTCGTTTAAATTTGAGATTAAAGCCTCTTTTCCCCCTTTCGCGTTGTCCTGCCCGGCATGGAAACTCGCTCACTTTTTTAGCTGACACCTCCGCAATTTACTCAAATCCACTCGTGGCTAGCCGAGTGACATCACAGGAAATAACATCATAGGTGCACGGGAAGTAAGGCCACACCCGCCAGATGGGACAGGGAGCAGTAGTGTAGCGCAAAGCCGAGTTGAAGAGTTAAGGTTTTGCGATTGTTTTTGTGTAACTGCAGCGACGATGATGGTGGTGGTAACGATGTCGAAACTGTAAATTTCTCTGTCATCGCCGCCGCCACCACCACCACCATCGGCCTCAACCACTCTTTCCCGGACATCACACATGATTGGAGCATTTGAGTCGTACTGGGTGAACATCCCACGATTTTGTGGGTGTGCGAAAGGGATGGAGGGAAAGGGTTGCAAACATTCGAGCACACGGTCAGGGGAGATAAAAATGTTGGGAAGGGACGGAGCGGAGAGAGGAAAACCGCTGGGAGTGGCCAGTCGGTGGTGGTACTGGGGCAGAGTGGGAAAATATTTTGCATGGGGAATATGGTGCAAAAGGAAAACGGTGGGAAAGGTTAGGGAGAGCTGGGGAAATTTTTTTTTTATCTGGGAACAACTTGCAGAAACCAAATACCGAGATGATGGGTTGGGATGGGAATGAGTGTAAGATAGGAAACGCTACCGTTAGGAAAATCCTGGATCCACCAAAGAAACGTGCAAAAACTCGGATTGAGAAATTTTGATGTTTCTGTTTCATACGTTCACACACACGCAAGTGTGTGTGTGTGTGCGTATGCAAATCCTGTGTGTTCGTGTGCAGTTCTCGTCTTGAATGCCATTGTGCCAGTGTTGTGACTCGAGCTTAAAGTCATTCCTCTGAGCGTATCTCTCTCTTTTCCCCATCGTTAATTAAAAAACATAAACTTCTCGTCTTCCACTCAAAACACTCCCTCCCCCCTCCCCCTGCTGCCATCTCTCAAGGTAGCGAGCACGAACGGAAAATTATCGCTCGTGGATGAGACCCAAAACAACAAACGGGCGCGAACAACGCGGCGTCAACGATCGCCACGTCGGGAATAGTAACAATGAAATTTAAACAGCTCTAAAAATCATAGCCAAAACAGCGCCATCGAGATTAATAATAACTTGAACAAATAAATAACAAGAAATAATGAAGAATAAAAAACAATTCACGAAAATAATATCAAGAATTGTATCGACTACTATAACAGCAGGAATACAAATATTACGTATGACAATAATATAGTGATATTGTAATAATAGTTAATAATGATGGTGGTGATAAAAGTCTGGTGGCTGCCACGAACCATCCTACCTACTCCTGACCATAACTGTAACCCTGCCCTAACACTATTCTAAACCTTAGCCCTCAATTAATTTACCCCTTAATAATCTACACTAATAACACCTTGACTCTAAACACTAAATTGTCTTCCTATCCATGGTCTTAATTGTCCCTGTGTTGACCCTAACACAGACCCCGGACTCCAGCCCTAACGGGCCTTCACCTGACCATGAATCTCTACCCTGAACTTTCGCCCAATTCTGACCTTTCAACTCGCTCAAGTTTGCTAAAGCATGGCCTTTCACCTGAACCCCGACCTTTCGCCTCAACCCCGACCTTTCACCTCTCGCTCACATGATTCTGCTGCGTCGACGGCGGGACTAGGGGCGATGACGTCACCGCGGCCGCCCCCACGGCACCGGCGCTCGCTCCGTCCTCCCCTCTCCTCTCCCCCCTACTCCGCCCCCTCCTCTCTCCACCGCCACCTTCACCGGCGCCGCCATCGCCGCCGCCGCCGCCGCCGCCGCCGCCGTCGTCGTCGTCGTCGTCCTCATCGTCCGTCGTAGAGAGGGGGCCGGAGCCGAGGAGCGGTGGGTGGGAGGGGGGCGACGCGAGGGCGTCCAGTAGGTCGCCCACGGGCGCCATCTCGTCGAGGGGGGGCAGCAGCGTGAACGCGCGCGCGAACGCCAGGAAGTGGCAGGCGAGCGTGTTGAGGTGCGCATGCGTGTCCATCTGCACGGCGTGCCGGAAGTGGCCGCAGTACAGGTGCGCCAGCACGTGGAACAGCAGGCGGAACACGCGCCGCACCAGCGCCTCGAACAACGGGGGGAAGTCGCGGCCTGCAGAGCGGGGGGGGGGGGGAGGGGTGGAAGGGGGGTGGAAGGGGGTAGTGGGGGGTGAGCGGAATGAGAAAAGGAGGGAACGATTCAAGAATCTTTATTTAGACTGGAGAAATTCGACGAGGCATGAAAGCTCTTTTTCACAGATGTCCAGTAGGATTCAGTGAAAGGGGAATAAGAGAATTATTATTATTATTCGGGGGGGTGGGGAATGGAATGGACTGCGTGGGAGTGTGTGAAATGAGTGTGTGCGTGTGGAATGTCGATCCTGTGTAACTTCATTTACACAGTTGCGTTTGACACTTTAACGAGCACCTGGGACAGGCGGTTACACAAGGCATTTGCGCCATCATCCCGTCCGTCTGGACCACGGGAGTTCATGTTCGGTGGGTCGTGTGTGTGTGTGTGTGTGCGATCAGCACAAGCACACACTTGGGAAGGATTGAATTGTATTCGACACAAATCTGTGCCCGTTTACACACTCGCGCAGGGGTCGGCAAGCTGCGGCTCCGTAGCCACTTGCGTTATTTATTCAGGACTCACCGTCTATTGGTATTCACCACAGGGCGCATTGCGACTCTTGAAATAGAAGGGGTTTTTTTTTTTTACCGAATTCGCAAAACAAAGGGCTCTTCTTGTTGTTTGGGTTGCGGGACCCTGCACTCGTGCAATCATCACCGTTAATCCGTGTGGACGTTTCTTTAACTGAATTTTACTATGAACGGTTTTCAAATTGTATTTGTCCGAGCCAATACAACATTGGCGAGGTGGTGGTGGGGCGAGGTGTGGTGGGGGGGGGTGCAGAGCTGCGTTGTTACCGTATTTCGTGGGGAAGGTGTTCTCGTCCGTCACTTGCTTCTGCACGTACGACATGACGCAGTCGATGTACTGGGGAGCCGTGCACTTTGTCTTCTTTCCCCGGTCGCTGTCCTGCCACAGCACGGGCCTGCACACACAAAAACCGCACGCACACACACGGGCGTTATAACACACACACACGGGCGTTATAACACACACACACGGGCGTTACGCACACACACACGGGCGTTATAACACACACACACACACACGGGCGTCACGCACACACACACGGGCGTCACGCACACACACACACGGGCGTCACGCACACACACACGGGCGTTAATACACACACACGGGCGTTATGCACACACACACGGGCGTTAACACACACACACACACGGGTGTCACGCACACACACACGGGCATCTCGCACACACAAACATCGCACACACGGGCGTTACACGCACACACACACACACACGGGCGTTAGACGCACACACACACGGGCGTTACACGCACACACACACACGGGCGTCGCACACAAGGGAGTTTAAATGTGGATGCCACACACGCAGGCCTCACGCGCAGACATCACATGCAGATATCACACAGAGACATAACACACCAGACGCTACGAGCAAGGAGGTGGGCAGAGTTCACGGAGCAGAGGGAGCGACCGCTACGTGGGGGTGGAGGAAGTTACAGGGGTAGTGAGCAGAAGGGGGGAGGGGGGCAAGGCTGTGGGTGGATTTGACCACGAGGACAAGGATCCGGCAGTGGCAACGCTCGTCGATGGGAAACGAGTGAAGTGAGGCCAGCACTGGGGAGATGGCAGAGCAGGATTAGCGCGGTCGGTTACGTGTGGTGCGAAAGACGTTCAACATATATACATAACAAGGACCCAGGCTGCAGCATTTTGGACCGGCTGTAGTTTCGATCTGGGCGACAGGGTGACGCAGCGGTAACTCTTGTGGCTAACAGCAAGACAAGGCCTGGGTGAGATTTATTCTTATCTGGCGCCTTTCTGCGTGGATTTAGAAATGTCCTCCCCTGTTCTGCACCGAATTTCTCCAGGTCCTACCATCTCATCTCGTAGCCAAACAAAAACAAATTCTACGAAATTGATTTTGGCCGAACATCCCAATGCCTACAAAAATATACCTGCAAATAACTCTATTCGGATTATAAACGAGCAACGGCAGGAACATCCTGAAAAGAATCTTGAGACTCCGCGAGGCTTTCCTGGGTCAACAAAACGCAATTTAAAAAAATGATATTAAATGGGGCACCTTTATCTGAGTGTGCGTATTGTGAGATGTTTATGGTGCTACTCACATGCTCCCTATGCACATGGTGGAGCAGGAATCAGGAGTACAGAACTCAGAAATGGTGCTGTATTGCAGGTTGATGTAGTTGAAAAATGTTGTTGCTGTGGAAAGAATGGCAAACAACGAGAATAAAAACAAAGACAAAGATCCCCCCGGCGTATAGCCTCCACAGGCTTTTGGGGCGAATGCTGTTAGCGAACACCTATGAAGGCCGGCACGGCGCACGAAAGGGTGGGTTGGCCAGCACCACGCCCGGCCGCGTTCGTCTCCCGAGTGGTGAAGTTTACACACACCGAAGCCGGGCCACTCATTCTGAGGCCGAGCAAACTTAGGGGAGGCCCAGAACCAGGTTCAGATAATCTACACCGGCGTTGGCCCGTGAGCAGGGAATCGAACTGAGCGCGCCGGCTTAGTAGCGCATGCGCGCGGACGTGCGTGCGCGTCCGTACTGTGCGTCGCGAGCCACTCGTTGCGGTCGATCTCCGGCGGGAGCGCGGTGAGCAGGATGAAGTCGGTGTCGGTGATGCGGGCTCGCGCCAGCTCCCCCTCCAGGTAGGCGCGGTGCTCCTCGGGGCAGCTCCGCCGCTCCTTCTCCTTGTCCTTGTCCGGCCGAGTTTTCTTTCTGCGGGCGACAGCGGAATTGGCGGCGCCACCGTTGGGAGAGGCGCGTGGGACCGACCGTCGACGGGAGACGAGAATTCCTTCGGATAGCGATCGCGTCGGATGGTCCGTGTGGGAATCGGCGGTTTGTAAGTCGGGCGAGTTGGAGGTGGGGGGCGACGTGTGGACGGGCGGCGATGTGCTCGCCGCTTGTTGCAGACGTTCGCCGTTCGATCCTCGCGGCGCAAAAACAACAGAAATCTCCACAGCTGTTATGAGTGGCGCTGCCGAGCCCAATGGACAGATTTCATGACGAGCGGTCTCGGGGGTTTTGCAGTCGACCGTGAAAACAGGCGGGAAAGTTCTCGAACAGACGGAATATTTCCCGGGAACGGTAACACACGTAGGCGGCAATCGGCTTCCTAAAAAGCAACGTAACCAGTCACGCGTTGCGCCACGCAAAGCTCCTTTGCAGTCTCAACTTTAACCCCTTGTGTTTGCGTGTGTGTGTTACTGCCGTGTGTGTGAGATGTATGGAGTCTATTGTTTGAAGACGTTACGCAAGATATAACACACCCGTTACACTTCCGCGCGAGTTCTGTGCAAGAGCACGTGGCGCCACAGGTTGGGCACAACGAGGTGGGGCTCTGGAGTGTGGAGAAGGAGGTTAAATATACGAATAGCAGCGGCGTGGTAGCGTGTGTGGCATGGACCCTCGTGTAAGGAATGAGTCGGTGGGGGGGGGGGTCCCAGGTGGGCCCCCCGTACTATTAAATTAGTGAGGTTAACACCACGCTCAACCACCTTTGTTTCCCGAGCGGCTATATCCATACTCCTCATCAGGTACTCATTTGAGGCTGAGTTGACATACACAGACCCACACGCACACACACACCACCCCCTGCTTCCCCTGCAACAAGGTAGAGAGTAATACGACGAGTTGAACAGTTTCGAGACCAAGAATCTTGGATGCTGCTAACGGAACTCTACATCCGTCCCAACTCCAACGAGCCTCCGTAAAAAAAAAAATTAAACATAACCGCAGGGGCGAGGCATCGTAAATAGCTTGATAATGACACGGAGAGGGGCTGGGGACCCCGTTATGCAACACGCGGCCTCCACTTTTCCCGCCACCACACCCACATCCGCGAACCGCCTGGCCCAACTTCGCTTCAGAGACAAAGACAACATTTCACATCTTTGTGTGCACCGGAGTCTTGGTACATTAAGCGAAATAATAAGAAAGGTTCTATTAAGGTGCTCGCCGACAGCACTTGTGTGTTCGTGGGGAGCGGTGGTGCAGCGGTTAGCGCGCTGCGCATCGGAACCCGGCGTCCCGAGTTCGATTCCCGCTCACGACGAATAACAGTTGCAGATATCCGAACCGGTCCTCTCCTAGGTCGACTTCGACTTAAATGGCAAGTGTATTGCGGTGTGTAAACTTCAGCCCTGGGGAGCCAAAGGCAGCAGGATGTGGTTTTGGCTACCCACCTGCTCGTGTGTTGTACGAGACTTTAAAGGTGCTCGCCAAATTCTACATGGAGGATTAGTCATTATTCGTATGTCCGAGCGTGTGAGTGTGCATGGCGTTGGAGGCCAAAGGCCAAAAAAGTGCACCGAGCCTGGCACAAGTGCCGTGATGACGTCACCGGCTCTTAGTGGCGAATGGAGGCTGTTGTTGTGTATGGATGCTGGTTAAACCAGTCTGCAGGAAAAGTGGCATTGTGGAGCTGACTTAAGGCAGTTTCCACATGGTCGGTGGCCCTGAACTCACCGATTCTGTTTTATATCAAAACACACCGACCATCATCATCATCATCTCCTCTCGCACTCACTCAACTTAGAAACAACGTTAGAAAAGATTAGATTCCCCATGTAACCTACACAGGCTGCTGGGGCGACAGCTGTTCGCGAGGCACCCGTGAAGGCCATCATGGCGCACGAACGGAGTGGGGTGACCAGCCCCATGGACGGCCGCCTTTGTCTCCCCAGTGCCGCTGTTGGACGCATCCGCCTCATCTGCCCGTTTAAAAGCCGCGGCGACCTTGGAAGAGGCCCATAAGCGGTTCGGATATTCGCCACTGGTGTTGGCCGCAAGCGGGAATCAAAACCGAGGCCGCCGGGTTCGAAGCACGGCGCGCGCTAGTCACTCTCCTCCGCTGCTTCCCACACACGCACGCACACACACACACTGACTCGTCTGTCTCATCGCGCGCACGCACGTGCGCACGCACAGACATTGAGTCACACAAACGCTCCGCGCGCGACTCACGGTGATGTAAGTTTAACAGCTTGCACGTGCGGTCACGCACAAGGAAGCAAGCGAGCGGCACGAAGTGCACCAAGCTATCAGTCGCAGCCCCAATCCGACACGTTCACCAACGCGCTGACAGCGAATGCACGAAATCAATCGCGTTCGTGCAAATAAATAACAATCGGCCGGGACAAGCGAACTCTGCGATAGCTAAAAGGCGGAAACGGGCACCCTTGCGCAAACATACGCACGCACGTGCAAGTTCAACGTGCAAAATCTACCGGTGCGCCCGAGGAAAGCCGGCCGGCCGGCCAAACTCCACCTCTCTCCTCTCCTCCCTGGCTCGGTTCGTCAAACACCTGCCGAGCGCTTCACCGCAGGCCAAGGTGCGGCCCGCTTTTTGCCGCCCTGCTTTTCGCAGGGCGCACGGAGTGGTGGGGGGGGGCATCGCGCCACAACCGTGCGCGGGGCAGTCGGCGCGGGACAAAAGCCGGAACGGGTTTCTCTCGGTTTACTTAACAAACAAAAAGTTAAAACCGAGCAAAACAAACGCACAAAGTCAAGTCAAAGTGAACCTTCCTGCTCAAATCGAGCATCATGGGCGCTGTTGCTCACCTTTCCATTGTTTACAGCACTTGAGCCAGCGGCTGTAAATATCTCTGGCCTGCATCTACGGCGGCGGCCAGTCCTACCTTGGCAGAGATAAGGGTGTTGAATTTCTCACGTGCCTTCTTTGCGTGTTTATCCGGCCAGGCGGGCTCATAGGGCAGAGCGTGGAGGGGAGGGAGGTGGGGGGAAGCTCGCGATCCGAAAGTTGCGAGTTCAAATTCTGGTTGCGAGGCGGCGGTCGGTAAAATGAGTACCACTCTGTGGGGAAGTCAACCGCGGTTGAGCCCATGGAGAGACTCGCCCCCGCCATAGGAATGTACAACTTCCACATCTCTCGCGAGGTGATGCCAAAGACTCGGCCACCGCCATAGGAATATGTAAATATCAATTTATCTTTCGCGAGGATGTCCATAATGGCCGCGTCAGCGCCACTCAGTCGGCACCGCTGAGATTGCCAGGTCCATGGTTTGTCAATTTGTATTGATTTGTCACCAAGGTAGTTTCCTCTTGAGAGATGCAATGCATCCCCCATCGGGCCGTCGCGGGGTTAAATAAAGGATGGCGGATCGCTCACACCGATTTCGTTTGTGTGCAGAAGTGACACGCACGAGGTGAGTTTGTTCTGTAAAGGGAAGTGCTAAATTTGACTGTGCCCTTGACGCATTCACACAGTGACCTCTCTCATTCAACGGCCAGAGGGCACAAGACATTGCAACCACACACACACACACATAATATGTAACAACGTTGTCAGTCAGTTTAACATGTAGGCTTTCACGACCAATATTCATCATAAGAGGTTTTTGGTATAGATCGCGTTAAACCCGCCGCCACCAATTTGTGAATTGTAAATGTTGGGGGTTTACTCTCCAACACACCGGTGTGCTGTACTAGTAACGAATTGGCACGTTGTGTTTACGTGATAAACCTTACTAATTGGCTGTGTCGGGTGGTGGCGGGTTTCACGACGATATTTATATTTACGTGATCTAACCCAAAAAACCTCTATTGTGGATGACATTGCCAGTGTTGAAATGATTAATCAGTTAAATCTGCAGTTCTCAATCCGTGGGTCGCGCCCTTCCCGGCCTCTCGCAGGGAGGGGGATGCAGCTTGTGGCACGGATACCGTGCAGGAGAAATGACGAAATCCGCACCTCTCATTATAACGGTTGGCTGCGTATGGTGCTAAAGAACTAGGCGAACGGTGCATCGCTACACGTCATCTTACACGCGACTCACACACGTGGAGTTTATCACAGGGTTGTAGAATATGTGTGTGCAGCCAATGCCACTATTGTGTGCGATTTAATTGCTACACTTTCCAATGACGCCCACCAACAGCTCCCATCGCTTTAAGTTGTAACCCATGATGTTTTTTTTACGTCTTGGACAAAACTGCCTCCACGCAATAATCGGCAAACATTTAAAGTTGAGTGCGCATGGCAAAGGAGACCTAGACAGAGCACAGGCCAGTTCCCGAGGAATGTAATAGTTCATGAACCACTGTACCACCACACCCCAAATATACAAAGACCCCCCCATATAGCCTTGACAGAATGTAGGGACAATTGTTGTTAAGCGAGCACGTTATTAAAGCCGGCACGCCGCACGAGGAGGTGACGTGGCCAGCATCGCCCCTTTTGCTTCCCCAATGCCGATTTTTACACACCGCATCTGGCACTCATTTACGGCTGAGTCCGCATAGGGGAGGGCCCAGGACCGGCGCAGAAGTTCGTCACCGACGTTGGCCACGAGCGTGAAATTAAACTTGTGCTGCTGGTTTGGTGTAGCGCAGTGCGGTGCTCTAACCACCACATCAACACCCACGCACGCACGCAAATACCTTGACGCGCACACGAGCAGACACGTGGCAATTGCGTATACAAAAGCAGCCACACAAATACGCACGCAAATTACGAGTACATGCCGAAACGCACTCACGATATACAAATGCACACGCCAAAAAGTATACAAACAGAGGTGCACTCAGGCACTTGCACAGTAATAAACAAATTAAAACTCCTACAGCCAAATCACCCAGACTGCACTCCATCTCGGAAACTAAGCAAGGTTGATCCTGGCTAGATTACGAGACCATGTGGTGGGCATTGCAGAAAAAATCATTGTTGTACGGTACTTATACGCTCCCTGCCCTTCACCAAACTAAACGATGATCGGCGTGGAGAAGTATGGTCAAACAAACGCCACACATAACCCGCACGAGGCCCTCATCCAGCAGGAGGATTGACACAGGGGCTGTAATCACACGATGTAAACGCAGAGACACGCGCGCAGCAAAGATTCTCCGATTGTAGCCACGACACGCTGCGTTGGCAAGAGCTGCCAGCGACGTGCCTATTGAGGGACGGGACACACTCAGGCACAGCAACCCACTCGAATGAATGCAAGTGAACGCAAATCGGTTTGCAGAGATGACACAAAGACATCTCCAGTTTCCTCCAAGTAGCCACCCCCTCCAAGCCACATTCCTTCAAAAGTTGTGCACAATCATTATTCACCACTGTGACGGGCAGCTTGAACAGGCCGCATGTCCGACTCGTCACGTTACAAAGCAAGCGGTGGTGGCATCATCACAGGAGAATATACGAGTGTCACGGTCCCCGGCCTCCTATAAACATCTGGCATTTAACCAGCATTGGTCCAAGTAAGCCGTTTTATTCGCGCGTTATTCAGAGCGTAGACCGATGTTCAAACGTTTGTCCACGTGATGCCATCGCGTTTTCCATGCACATGGCAACCCGCCACCTGGGGCAAACGCGAAAAAAGGAGGAGGGTGCATTCCATCTCGAGGGATTTATCCGGATGAGATGTGTTTATAGTTAGAGTGTCGACGGGGGAACACAGGCAAGGAAAAAAAAAGATTTAAAAAAAGATGACACGGAGTCCCTCTGCTCACCTTAGCGCGCGCGTGACCGACTGGAAGACCATGTTGATGCCGAAAGAGCGGAGAGGAAGCTTGGGTTTTATCATCGTTGGCGCCCGGGCGCACGAGCCATGCCTCCAGTCCCCACTTCTGACGACAGCCGGTGGGGGCGGACGCAATGGAATTGTCCGCGTGTTTTAAGAGAACACGTTTTGCGTGCAAACGAATTCGCGTATGAGTAACGCCTTGGTAAGAAAACACTCTCCCCCCCCCCGTTCTCCGTTGACACGTACGGTCAATTTATTTATACTTAGAGCACTGTCAAAAGTTCAAATTCAAGACCAACCTTTTCCTTTTGTCTCTTTCGACGCTGCGAAATGCCGATGTTTAAATGTCGATGTTTAGGCAGAATTGGCTGACCGACCAACTACTTGACAACAGTGGATACCTAATAGTCAGAAGAACTTTTAGAAATAGATCTTAAGCACGGTCATACGCCGCTGTTGCTGCCAAAGAGCGCGGAAAGTTGCCTAAAAAGGATTTAATCCACCACGCCTTCACTCACGCAGGCTCAGTAAGATTCTGCTGCTGCTGCTGCCCGTAAATAAGCAAGCCACTCGCTCATACACACGGTTTCCTGAAACCTGCCAGGTTTTATAGGCAAGAGCACGCCCTGGGCACAGACCGCCCTTGTCTAGTGAGAGCGGGAGAGAGGGCGGGAGAGAGGGAGGGAGCTGAAGTTACCGAGGTTGGGGAGGGGAGGCTTGAAAGTGGTGTCATAATGAAGCCACCAACCGCAGTTCACTCAAATAAGCAAACAATTGGCCTCCTTCCCATCTGGGTATCTCCGTGTATGTATATGAAGACAGTTTTTGAACACGTCCCACCAGCCACAAGGCCTTTTCGGAGTGCATTATTTCAGCATCGATTAATCAGCACAATCAAAACTCTAGACCAGTCTTGACAACCGGTGTCAGCAGTGAGGCTTTCTTGTACCAATGCCAGTAAACTGGCTGATGTTAATAAACAAGCACCCTCTCTGTTTGACATGGAAGTTCACTGGTCAGTCTTGTCCGATCAGAATTCACTCCTCCCTGCCTTTTCACAGACTGCTGGGACAAGTGTTGTTAGCGAGCACCTATTAAGGCCAACACTACACCACACAGCACACCTAGAGCGACGTGCTCGCACAAACACGTGAAACATATCCACACTCACTTAAGAATACAAGCACAAAAGGACACACAAAACAAACATCACCTGTGTAACCTTAGAGACTGATGGGTAAAGTGCATTATTTTTGTTTACACGCATGTATACCAAAATACGTAGATCCCCTGTATAGCCTTTGTGCTGTTAGCGAGTGCCGATAAAGGACATTATACGGCACACGAGGGGGCAGGTGGACAACACCCCGCCCGGCCGCCTTTGTTTCCCCAGTTCTGATGTTTACACACCGTACCAGGTACTCCTTTAAGGATGAGTCGACATCGGGGAAGCTCAGAACGAGTTAAGATATTGATCACAGCTGTTGGTCGTCAGCGGGAATCAAAGACGGGTCAATGAGTTTGCTGCGCAGCGCGCTAACCACTGCACATACACACACTCTTATATATACATGCCCTAATAAACACTCACACACACACACATGCACACAAATATGCAGACACATGCACGGTCACATCCTCTCTCTCTCTCACGCATACATACACACATACATACACGCAGACTCTCTTAAACACACTCGCACACACACTCGCTCCCGCAATTTCTGAAATCACAGGAAGCGCCTGAGACTCGATGTGCTCGGTCAATGGGGGGGTAAAGCAGGACCCATGTCTAACCCAGCCTTAATCTTCACACAACAATAACCGCTATTCGCCACTAGGTGATGATGATGATATCATCACAGAGCTTGTCCCAGGTTAGGGACACTCTGAGGTCACGTGAAGCGAGGCAGGAAGTCAAGTGACGGGGCCAGGTGTTATGGGGTTGACCGAGATGAAAAGATCGATTTATTCGCAGGCAGTCACATCCACAAAACAACGGACACACAATAACAAAGGCAAAGAATCCCCCATAGCTTTAACAGACTACTGGTGAAAGGATTGTTAGCGAGCACCCACGGAGGCCGGCACGGCACACGAGGTGGTGGTGGTGGTGGTGGTGTGGAGAGCAACAGCGCGCGGTCGCCTTCGCCTCCTCAGTGCTGATGTTTACACGTCGCTCCATGTGCTCATTTAAGGCTGAGCCGACCTAGGGGAGGCCCAGCACCGGTTCAGATACTTGTCACCGATGTTGACCCGTGAGCAAGGAATTGAACTCGGGGTCACCGGTGTTCGAAGCGCAGTGTGAAACCGTCGACGGCACCGCCCTCTACGCATGACACACAAACACCAACTTCCTGCACCACCACTTCCTTACAAAGCAGTTTCACTTCCCACCACTAAGAACAGTAAACCCCCCCCCCCACCATCGTTTCATCACCGATCCATCACCGTGTGCTGTCTGCGGTCAAATAAATAAGCACACAGTACGCTGGCTTTCCATTTATGTCCCTTCCCATCAGCCACATGGCCTTCTGAGAGTAATTTTTTTTTCAGCGGCTTCGGTTTAACGCAAGCAAAACCCTGGACCAGTTTCGGCATTTGAGGGTCTCATCAGCAGTCAGGCTTGCTTAAAGCAAAACTGGTGAACTGCCGGATTGTTATAGGCAAGGGCACGCTCTGCTAGACACGGGTCATAGTTTGACACAAAAAATGTAATACATAAACATTAAATAATAATTAGTACCGTACTATGAATATGGCGAACTGGGTTCGATCCCCGGCCACGGCTAACATCGGTGGCAAGGGGACATTGGAAATGGTCTTGGGGGCCCTCCATCGACCCGCACTGACCGGCATGGTGAAGTACGGTCAAACAACCTTACATGACTGACACAGAGTGGGTTGAGGCCTTTCTCCAGCAGCGGATTGACAAAAGCCTGCAAGTTATCAATTTTGAACGTTATGTTGACGGTAAATGACTCAAACATGGCTCCTTTTAAGGAGAGTTCTGCATGGGGATGTTTGGCCAATATATATTTTTAAGATGAGTGTTTATCGCGTGGCAGGAAATGGGAGTGCTCGGAGGAACCACATCAAGCGTGCAAGGGGGGCGACACTCTCAATGATTAGCGAAGAGACGATCGCTTTCCTGTGAACTGGAGTGAGATAAATTTTCCATAATTGGCAATGTGCTGTTTTTTTATTAACCACCTGCTACTTTTATTGCACCTGCTGTACCGTATTTCTGTGACAATAAAAACGATAGAGTATAACAGATTGACACATGTGTAATGTGCACAGCTTTCTGGTGCGCCATGGCCCTCAAATCCAGTCTAAGGTTGACTCGGACCATCATAATCATCACCACGCTCACCATCATCATCATTATAACTATCCTCATCATTGCCATAATCATCACTACGATCATCAACGTCATCATTATTATCACCATCAATCCTCATCATTACAAACATTTGTAGGTCAGAATTCAGAAACGAAACGCCAGATTATGTTTGGGTGTGTGTATGTGACAGTGTGTGTGAGTGTGTAATGTGTCTGCAAGTGTGTCTATGAGGCAAAGGTGGCCAGGCATTGGTAATGGCCACCGACCCCCTCGTGTGCCGTGCCAGTCTTCATAGGTGTTCCCTAACAGCACTTGCCCCAAAAGTCGGTTAAGGCTAGACGGGGAATCTTCGTCTTTGTGTATAGGTCCTTGAAAGATCCGGACACAGTCCCATCAGTGAGCTCCTCCGGCAGCCGAGGCTGTGTTGGCTAGGTCGTGGCCCGCATGCCCAGCCACCCCACGCCCAAGCAGCTTCTGTTTGGCCGGAAAGAGGGGGGGCCAGATTATGTTTGGGTGTGTGTATGTGACAGTGTGTGTGAGTGTGTAATGTGTCTGCAAGTGTGTCTATGAGGCAAAGGTGGCCAGGCATTGGTAATGGCCACCGACCCCCTCGTGTGCCGTGCCAGTCTTCATAGGTGTTCCCTAACAGCACTTGCCCCAAAAGTCGGTTAAGGCTAGACGGGGAATCTTCGTCTTTGTGTATAGGTCCTTGAAAGATCCGGACACAGTCCCATCAGTGAGCTCCTCCGGCAGCCGAGGCTGTGTTGGCTAGGTCGTGGCCCGCATGCCCAGCCACCCCACGCCCAAGCAGCTTCTGTTTGGCCGGAAAGAGGGGGGGCTAAACAGGCGTGGCAAGGGCTGGAGAGGAGATGGACTGATGTGGTAGGAGAGGATGTGGAGTTGAGTGGACTTGCCGATGACTGCTTCCAGTGGTGTTAAAATCAGCCCTCTGTGGAGGAGGCTCGTGAAGGACGTTACTGAGCAGTTGGAGGCAGTCGCCCTCCAACAACAACGCAGGGAAGGGGAGCGACATTCACAACAATGAGTGGAGGACCGGGCAGATAACACGCAAGCTGGAAGTGGGGAACACAGGTGGCACATCTGCCAGTCATCTCAGTCGGTCAACCCACGGCACCTGGGTCTGTCCCATGACCTCTTGCCAGTGAGCATACCACCCACACTAGACGAGGCCTCAACGTGCACCTAGCCTGGCACAAGCGCCGCGGTGACGTCACCACCATTTTGCGGTAACCCGCAGCAGTTGTTTTAGCGTACGTGGCCAACGAGCGAGTGTGTGTCTATGCCGGTGAGTGTGCGCGTGTATGTGCATCGTGTATACGTGCTGCGTGCGTGAGCGGTGACATGAGAGCTGACGCCTGCAGCGCTGACCCCACTCCGGGCCATGCCACCACCTCCCCAAGCTTCCCATCACACACACACAAGGCCAGCTCTGTGCAAGGGGAGGCTCAAAGCCCAGCCTTGTGTGCAGAGCCACACCCCAGCAGTGAGCCCACACTGCATCCAGTACGTACACACAAACACGAACGTAAAAAAAAGATATCCCGTATAGCCTTTAACAGTGCTGGGGCAAGTGCTATTATCGAGCACCTATGAAAGCCGGCACAACACCACACAAGGGGAGGGGGGGCATGACCACAGCCAGCTACCAGTTTAAGGCTGAGTCGACCTGGGAGAGGTAAACGATCTGCTGAGATCATATACCACTTTCAGCTGGGTGTGCACTATGGTTGGGAATTAAACACGGTTTCAGTGTGCGGCACCGTAAACACACAGTCAGGATCCTCTCCCTCCGGAATACATTTTTTAAAATCTTGATTACAAAACAAGCAAAGCTAAATTCACGCGTAAAAAAATCCTCAAAACACAACCACACGCGCACAGGTTTTTTGCTCATCGGAGATTCAACACAAGGTAGGGGACATTTTCATCTCAAGGGCACAGTGCTCAGTCAAATGGTTATTGACACCAACTGTGACAACAGCGATCATCCTACGGATAGCAGCGGGTTTTTCCATCTCAATAAATATATTGCCAGTATTAAGATGCTAAAAAAATAAGACTTTACCCTTTCTGGCAAAAAAAATACAGGTGTTAAGATATTAAAACACCAAAGACACCTTTTACAATACATCAAGTCTGCATTAACCAGACATTCTTGTGGTAAAACGTGCAAACAAATTTGATTTGATAAATGCATCGTCCTTGAAACATATTGGCACACACCTAAGACAATTTCTTACGACTTGGTCTCACCAGTGCTAGACCAAAGGCCGCCAAAATTTGAAAACTACAAGGACAATGCAAACACGAAAGCGTGAGAACGTGTAAGTTCACCGCAGGTTCAGGGCCACTAACATTTGATCATGGAGACTTTTTTTTCCGGAGAGTGACCTGTGCCAAGGCAATAACTGAGATGGGCAGGCCTTTAGTAAAAAAAAAGAACACCGCTCAATGGGAGGTCGCTCCTTCTCCTCTAATGTGCCCTCCTCCATCTGGAATTCCACCCCTCCAATTCAATGTCAAGTTGTCATCGTGGCCAAAGCCGTTGATGCCGCAGCACCTCTCGCCAATGCGGTCTACTCTCCGCCAGATCCCGCAGCTGTTGCACAGTATTATTATTATTTGTTGTTATTATTACCACGGTGGTTACTCCGGAGTGCCAACTCTGTTAGAGGAGGGTCCCTGCCACGTTTTTGCATCGGGGGGGCGGGGGGGGGCGATGTAGCTGTGTGTAATTCCAATTGAGAAATTCGCAGGTTATTTTTTTGCCAAGTCAAATTTGGACCATGACGCCAGGCACACAATGGCCTACTCATTTCAAATGGCGTCAAGGGGACCTTTGACGTCCACTATGAAGAAGACGGTGTGGAGGATATCACGGTTAACATACCCGCGGTAATGACCAGGGTGGCCTCAAAATTCATATCGCAAATGTCAGCAACAAAACTCCGGCCATCTTCGCAGCGGCGGCTTT